ATAAAATTTCTCCTATGTAAATTTCGTCAACAACCACAATACTTGAATAACTCTAGAACGGCTTCACTGATCCTCTCAAAAATTAATTGGAATTTAGGCCATTCTGAGCTACACGAAATGGTATAAACCCGATCTTATAAAATAAAAAAGCGCTAGTTTTTCTTAACTTCTAGCTTGAAAAACAGCTATAAGAAAGTCGAATTTGAAGAAAATCCTGAGGAGTTATGAACGCTTTATTGACGGCAGGAAAAAAACTCATCCAAGAAAATCAAATATTGTTGTTTTTTGTATTTATATTTTATTATATTGTTGTAAGGTTGTATTTTTTAATTTGTATAAAGAATTTTTAAGTGTCCTAAAAAGTGAAATTTGCTTTTCCATAACAAACATTTACATGACCTATTTTACTAGAAGCACTTTTTGTAATTTATGATGCATTGTAACTCATTTAATATGGAGACCACGACGAGCTGGTTGAACTTAAATATAAAACAAACACAATAACAAATAAGAGATTATTTTTTTACAACCTGTGACAAAAAAATAATTTAAATTTAGAAATTTATGTGTAAATTGTGCACAGTTGGTGTTCAGCTAGTAATATGTAATCGACAAGAGAATATAATTCAAATTAGCTTTTAGAATACAGTTGAAAATTCCATAAACCCATAAAGCAATACTTTCAACTTCTGCTCTCTTTCAATATGATGGTGAATTCCACATTTCACAGCCATTATATTCTTGAAAGTTATTTATATTAATTTTAATTGTTGAATGGAAATCAATGAAATTGATAATAGGCAATTTCAGTACTATTTTCCACATTTTCTCCAATCTTGGGTCAAATCGAACAAGCCATTTTGAAACTATGGGCGTGTCAAAAACAATACGTTTACAGATTCGAAACCTGAAGTACTTTTTGAAAATAGTGCGTAGGATTTGATGAAATTGATATCTAGTTGATCATATGTTTATCTATAACTACAACTAATTTACCTTCAACTTTGGGCATAATCGAACGTGCAGTTTTTGAGATATGTATCAAGGAAAATATTAATCGTAAATTGAATGAGGAAAATATTGATTGAAGAAAATATTGATAGTAAAAAAATATTGATAGGAAAATTTGAGATAAGTATCAAGGAAAAAACGTTTGCACGTATTTAGAAGAAAATATTGGACGGGATTCAATAAAATTGAGAGAGTATATTTTTTTTTACCAATACTCACCTTTCTTCCAACTTTGAGCCAAATCAGACGAGTCTGAAATATTGGCATATCACAGAAAATGTATTTGCGCATGCGTAGGCGAAAGTACTGAATGGAATTTAATGAAATTGATATGGGATCATCTAGACTGGTAAAATAGGGTCGCACGATGATTGAAAATTTTATGAAAATCGAATAAACGGTATTTAGTGATATGCCCATCAGATCGGTTTGTCTTCAGACAGACTGAAGGCGAACCAAATTTGATCGTTGAAATTTTCGGTTCTCAGCACAAAATTTATTTTACCTCCCACACAAATACAGAGCTTCCCTACCTTCGGCATTGAGGAAGTAAAAAATTCTAAATGTAAATAAATAATAAAGTGGACTAGCTGATCTAAAACGGTATAACAAAAATAGTTGGAGAATATAAAAAAGTAATTAATCTATATATAGTGAAGAAATGAATTATTATAAAATAAGCAACATACTACGATTACAATATATTTTTTTTACTTTTGGTTTAAAAAAAAGAAAAGAATTTTAATGTCATCTACTTCTATCCATGCAGGTTAACTATTCTAGATATAAATAGTATAATTTCTGTAACCAGTAAGATATTTTCGGAATTATCTCGAATATTGTACTGATAAAAATATATGAATGGCGATAGAACAGTGAGGTTACTTTGAGTGACACACTCTATAGTCTCGATATCAGTTCTAAACAAAATATCTAATAAAGAGTAAAGAACCTGATATAATATTATATTGAATCATATTACACCGATACAATAGAAAGGCGTTAGCTAAACAGAATGTTTCTCACATTTATTTATAATAAATAAATAAATAAATTAAGAAATGCATGATGCTCACCAATAGAACGCTCGCTGTCAGATCTGCTAGGGAATAATCCTTTTATCTGCACTTCATGCCTTATTTCTTCTTACAGATAACCCCCATCTGGCAGATGAGCCGTATATTAATAGCGATGCTATACTTGGAAATTTTCAATATTGCACAAGCATAACAATATCATCATATATGGCAATTAATCAATTCTCAATAAATATTGTTTTTTTTAAAGAATCCATGTCGTAGCCTTGAGACTGTGAAGCAAAAGTGAAAAAGAATTTATCATTATTTCAGAATATATTATCTAAAATATCTCTTCTTGGAACATAGACAGTTTTCTTTCCAACTTGAAAGGTCACTCATTTAAATTCGACCAAGCTTATGAATTAATAGAATATCTCTCGGAAAAATTACCTGTAGAGCTGAAAGAAAAGACCATACACCAGAAATATAATAATTTGATAAAAGTTGTCAACATTTTCTCCCCGAAGAAGGACAATGTACAAAACTCTAATAAAAGGCAAGCATTGGCAATAACTACTCTAAAGTTACTAATTTGAGTTCTACCAATGGGTAGTTTCTCTTCATGTTGTACATGTCATGTTACCAATTTCACATTTACTTATTATATTTTCTATGTAATACAGTTGTTAATTCCATTAAAATAATAAATAATAAAATAAAAAAATAAAAAGTTACTAAAGAGAAGTATCATTAAACCCTGATACATTTGCAATACTTATAACTCATTTAAATAGCGAAACAAGAAAGAAGATTAAAGAAGGCTTACTGAAATATAGATATGAACTTATAGCCGAAATAATATCCAAGAATAATAGCTCTACCAAATAAGGAAGGAACTAAGCCTAGGGAAGAAACTAGTTATTGTCTCTTAACAGTCAAGATCATAAAAAAAAGTAAGGTGTGTGCTTTAGACCACACGAGAGAAGTCAAAACATCAACAAGGCGAGATTAATTATATGAAATATAAATTATAAACAATAGCTCATTATAAAGCGGATGAAATGCTGAACATTTCTCTCGCTTAGCTTACAGTTATAGTTCTGTTTCATTGGCCGTGGGACGACCCTGGGTGGGTAGACCCTTTTGCGGTACACCGAACCTCTATAAAGTGGATACCCTTATTTAAAATAATTAGTTAAGGGGAAAAACCTGACGGTTGATCGTGATATCGGTCAAATCGCATCCTTGCACAACCGTAGACCAAGAAACAGTACTTTCCCTAACTAGTACTGAGCCCAAGACCCTTCATGAGTTGTATTGGTACAGTAATGAATGATTACTGTAATATAAATCGAATGCATTTTATTATTTGAACGAGAAATTAGTTACCTAACTAAGCAATTAGAACTCTTTTGACAAAAGTTTCCATTCAGTTAATCTGACTTTGTGTTGACAGTTATTTTCCGACTACCCCTAACGAAACAAGGGTTACGTGTTTGGTTCGTCCACTAAAAGCTATTGTAACGCTTTTGTAAGCGAACCGCACAAATTTATACGGTGTCATCCCCTGGAACAATTCGAGCTGAAAATATTGAACCGTTTTTAAATAACATGTGTCTAATCAATCTACAAAAAGCTTTCCAACGCTGTTTTGAGCGAACGGCTGGATCGATTTTTTAGTTTGATATAGTATATTATTCCGCGAGGTTCCGTGAGTGTTTAAAATGCAAAACGAGGATAATGTGTCCGCTAAAAGGTGCGTAAAGATGTTTTGAGCGGCTGACATGTTGGATTTTTAACTTGGGCGGCTGTAATTACTCAGTTAAATCCCGAAAATGCTTTTAAACAATTCGAGTTCAATATACTGGAAAAAAATCTATTATAGTTGGAATAGTCGGGATTGTTAATTAATTAGAAATTATATCATATGATCAATGTTATGAAAATGAATTATTAATATTTAAAAATATATTTCAATTTAAAAAAAACAACAACTATAAAGTGCGAAATTTACACCTTAAGGAAATGTATGGCTCTTTTCTACTTTTAGCACACCAATGAGTTTTTTAAGTGTTTTTTTATTTGGATTCAAATATCTCAAAAACAAAAATTCGGACCTGCATAGTGTAAGCGAGGCAAATGTTCAAAATTTTATCATCTCTGTAGTGAGGTATTACTAAATATTGTATCTTAACATGACACCGAGGTAGCGAGGCAAAAAGGGAACTAGTTTGGTTAAGCATATGGATTAAAATATCTCAGAAACTAGAAATCGGACTTGAATAATATAGGCAAGGTAAATGTTCAGCATTTCATCCTCATTGGAATGAGCTATTATTGAATATGAAATCTTAACGCGACGCCATGTTAGGGAGGAGAAAAGGGAAAAATAGCGTCGAAAACCAACTGTTAACAAGTTTTATTGTACATATTATAAGGGAGAGAAATGTTCAGCAATTCATCCTCTTTGTAGAGAACTGTTATTAAAAAATATATCTTAACGCAATACCATGTTAAAGAGGCGAAAAAGAAAAAAATAGTATCGACAACCAACTGATTACGAATGTTTTTAAAATATGAATTAGAATATCTCAGAAACTAAAAGTCGTACCTTCATACTGCAAGCAAGAGAAATGTTCGACATGTCTTGCTCTTTGTAATGAGCTATTATTCAAAATTCTATTAGAGAGGCGAAAAGAGAAATATGTAACTTCAGTACTACATAGGCTAACCACTCCCCGAACAAAAATTGGATTGAAACAAAAGAGTGGATAGATGCAAAGTGCTCCTTGGCCGTTACACCAATGGTCTTCATCGAAAGATTTTGTTTAGCGATGAGGAAAGTTTTTACAATTGAGGAGAAAATGAATCACCTAAATAATCGTGAGTACGCACACAGCTGAAAAGAAGTCATTGGAAGGGTGGAAAGAGGTCCTTCCTCACTGATGGTTTGGTGAGGAGTTTACTTTGACGGCACCACAAAGCTCCATTTTCTGTGAAAAAGGAGTTAAAATAGCCGCTAAAAACTATCAGCTTTTGGAACCTGTTGCCAAGCTTCTAAATGATACTCTGCTGGAAGTCATTGGGTTGTCCAGCAGAATTCCGCTCCCGCTCAAAAGGATAGGTCAACTCAGCACTGGCTGTAAAAGAACATATCTGCCCCGGATTGGAAGCCGTTAATTATCACCTTTGGTCCGAATTGGAGAGGATGGCATGCCGCAAAGCACACCTTAACTTAGAAAGCCTCAAACAATCTCTGGTCCGAGCAGTTGAGCGTTTTCTTCAAGAAGTGCTGCGTGCTGCTATTGATGCCTTCCGCGGAGATTAAATGCCTGGTTCAAGGCAAAAGGAGAAATTTTGAGTAATTTCTTTTTTGTTTTACTCTCTCTTTATATATACACTTTTTTTTCTAAAAAATTTTTGAAAAAATAATTTTTCTGTTGAAATCTGTATATATTTCTTTGTAACAATATTTATAACAGGGCTAGTTATAATATTAGTTTCGTCTTCTATATCTATTTTTCCTTTATTGTTAATGTGTATGCTTTGTAACTTGATTGTATTTTAATTTATTTTTCCCTAATTTTAAGTGAATATCTATTGAGAACCTGTGCAATTACGTCTTAATTCATCGATTTGGTAAGTAGATAACAATTCAAACTCCTAGTTCCATCTAATCTATTTTTTATTCTTAACTCATTATGTTATCTATTTCTACGTCATCGACCCCGTTGGGTTCAGTATTGTGTAATTAATGTTTTTGTATTTGTTCTGTTTCATCAGCTTTTATGTGGCTGATCGATTGGTATATTTATTTTTTATGTTCAATACTGCGTTGTCATTATAATTTGTATCTGTATTTTTGGTCGGTAACTTGTCAATAATTTTAAGTGAATGCCGATTTTTCAGCAAAATACTATAGAAGACTTATTTTAATTTTTTTGTATATTGTTTACTTGTATGTTGAATTTATTTGCTTACGAAATTTCTTATACGGTGATTTGATTATGGTTTAATATAAAAGTTGATCATTCTGTTAATAGTGACTTCCTTTTTAGTCCATTCAGTGGTATAGATTAAACACTCTAAACGTCATTATAATTATAATATAAGAATTATTATTTCTAAAATCTTTCAAGCCAATAACTACACCGCTTGTACAATGATTTTTTTTTATGGATAGAAATCTGTCGTGGGAGAAAAGGACCAATCTCAGGAAGACCACCAGACATCGGAAGCTAAGGAACGTTGAATCAATAACAATAAACCAATCATTTTCCCAGATCGCTCCGGTTGTGGGTGTGGTGGCCGAATGGGCTATCGCGTGTGTACAGCACCGCCGTTGCAACCTGCAACCTGATATATTAATCTAATGATATAAATTAGTCTCGAGTTCGCGTCCCGGTGCCGAGACAGTCTTTTAAATCCCCGCCCACACTCCCAGGCTCAGGAAAACCCTGTATAGCCTGCAGGAGATTTTTCTCTCAAATATTTCAACACTTTTTTCTAGGATGCTGGATAGTGTCCAGGTCTCACAACCATATATTAGAACTGGCTTTATCAGTGCATTTTACATCCTTAATTTGAGATTTATCGGGATTTCAATACCTTCAAAAGGGAGAAGAAGAAAGCTCTGTTTGTAGTGTTGCCCAAAATCGGCCCAAAATACCATGATTGTCTGACTGTTGCAAGACCAATAACAAGACTGGTAAAAAAAAATCGTGTTTGTGAATAAAAATTAGGCAAAATAATAACTAATATTTGACAATTTCAGTATTATATATGAAGCATTGGTATAACCAATATACTTTTGCATTTAACTTTTTCAATTTTTTATTCAGGCTTAGTTAGGTTTCCACTATCTGAAAAATTATAGTAATATCTCTATATTAATAGACCAATAGAAAAACTGCAAGACCGTTGCGAGACTCTTGCTCAAGTCCAAGACTATGACCAAGACTGAATGCGCAAGACCAAGACTCGTTTTGGTCTCGCATTATGGCAACGTTATCTGTTTGCACTTGTTGAACACTGATATATTTCTGCCCGTTTGTCATTCATTGAGGTTATGGTAAAGCCGAGGTTTTTTTTTTTTTTCCTACTTTCGAGAATGATTTTTTTTCTACGCAGATTATGTTATTGAGATGGTATTTTCGGCTTATTATCATATATTTTATTTTGTCTTCATTTATTTGTAGACCGATCTGCTCTGCCTCTCTTATCAGAGTCATAGTGAGTTTCTCAATGTCCTCCTGATTACTTCCAAGGACAGCTATATCATCTGCGTAGAAGATAGTTTATATAAATAGTTACAGATAAAAAATAAAATAGTTTTTCACTATTTCAGTTTTTTTTTTGTGTGTGTTGTTTTTTGCATGCCACTCACCTCTGACCATCTCTTTCCTCAGCAAAAACAATTGTATGAGTTGTTACTCCTGCCAAACCCGCATTGCCTATAGGCAAGGTAGAGAGTGAAATGAATAAATAAAAAAAAAAAGTAGGTTCTAATAATACCAAGAAAGACTGAAGAAGTTCTATTTCTTGAGGATATTGTTGAGTTGAGTTATCCATCTTCCAAAATGATTTTTTATTTACGCAGATCCTATTAGTGAGAAGGATTTTCTGTCATATCATTTAATATATGTTAATAATAATAATATCACTATAATTATTGTCCATGTGATTATTATATTTATAAATAAATAAATAAAATAATAATGACATTTTTAATTGTTGTCTTTCATCATACGTATTTTTATCAGGTCCGATAACTTACAGTTGGGGGTTACTGAAAAAGATGTTTTATTTTTTAAGTCCATTAAGAACTATATTTGCAAAATTTATAAAGTATTCATACAATCATATATTCGTGTTATTTATTATTGGGTAGTTTCGAAGTCCATATAAAAGTGGGAAGCAACCCAGTTTAAAACCAATTCATTTATTTATTATTCAGGTAAGCTATTTATGGAATTATTTGTTGAAGTTAAAACCTTATTAAAATACAGTTTTTGAAAGTAAGATCTATTTTCGTAAATTATTATCAATAATGAACCTTTGCAATCGACCAAAACAAAAAAAGTTAACTCCTCAAAAATTGAGATTTTACGTCTCAAGATACGTACAATGCGAAATTCGAAAAAAATAAAATCCTTGAAGAGAAGAATGAAGAAGATATGTCATTTTTGGAATGCGCAATTGATTACTTGTTGTTCCATTTATCAAATAGAGAGGTCACTTATTTTTGTCACATGTTATCCAATTAAAATGAAAAATATTATGTAACAGATTTCCATGTAAAAGAACTAGAAAAAATATGTAAAGTACGTGACTTTTATAAACCGGATATATATTGTGGTTTTCTCAGATTGTTCGGTAAAATTACAGCTTTTTAAAATTTGTATACCTGATCTTCATTTAAAATTACAACGCAAATGTAAAAATATTACTAATAAATCAACCGAAACTTTCAATGTATATACCTTTATTTTACAGAAAAAGATCTTAACTGAATGGTATACAATTTTTTACTTTAATATTGTAACTGGCTGTCACTCTTCAATGTTTGCCGTCAAATTTACTTACATTGTTTTTATTTTATTTTTTGACTGATTCTTCTTATTCTAATTACAGCGACTTATAAACACACGTTTGATGCCATTTTCCATATAAATATTCAGTGTTGATATTTTGACTTTCGTCCTGCTAGATTGCAAGGAACAAATGTACGGTGTCGTATGCGACTTTTCTCCGAGACTACAGGACCAATTGTTTTGAGATTTGGCATCAACGCCAAAGAGCACCCAAGCATAAGCGCGGCGACATACGTTTTTTATTTGGGAGGGGGAGGGCGATGGACTCCCCTCCTCAAAAAAAAATTTCGGAAGTTTACATTATGTATAAGAATTGTGAGTGACAATTAACATAATCAGCATAATTATTGTAAAACAAACAATACAATACTGTATATAAAAATAGATTTAGATATATCGACATCCACACTAAAGAAGCCTGTAAGGACAATTTCCATGGAAAATGAGGTTTTGAGCTTTCTGGTCAATTTTCTCCTGGCGCATATTCTAATCCAACAAAATCAAATCTAGGATGTTTCATTTCTTCTTTAAGTCCTTTTGTAAAAACCTGTAACTTAAAACCAGCAAATTGTGATGTAAGAAATTGTAAGTTACAGTGAAGATTATAGAGATTTAGTCATTACCGAAAAAAACGTAATGGAATGCGCAATGTAAGGTGGTCATGTAAATAGAGATCGTATACAGCGTTTTGTGCATAGACTAAAGTATCAATTAGTTTTATTAATAAGCTAAAATATTTTTTTCTCATACACTTTGTATTTTTTTTTTAATTTCTAATAAGGTGCGGGCACTTCCAGCACGGTGCCTCTCGGCAAATGCCCGGGCCCCCCTACTCTGGGGCCGGCACTGCTTACCATGGAACTAGACGAAGCAAAGAAGAGAGTGGTAAGTGGGAATACAATATTAAACGGCCTTCAAAACAATCGAACCCCTGGACACTACAAAATGAGCTTGGCTAGAAAAAGTTTCAATACCGCCGAATTCCAGATAGTGAGAGACAGAGAATCGATTGGAAAATTAAATACTAGACGAAAAAAGAACTCTAGTTTCATCTTTTCCAACCAATTAATCTTCGAAATCTCAAGAAACTCAGAAACGAAGTGATCTACACATCAGCAGGTTACCTAGAACTTACCAAGCATTCGTGAATCAAACTATTTCCATATGAAGTTAAAAACGAATCTTTCATAGACTAGTCCAAAATGGGGCGCATGTACTCCGTTCGAGCCGCAACTAGAGCGGGAGACAAAAAAGTGAATAATCCGTCTGATCGAATACTCGCTTTTCAGTCAATTTTTTTTTCAAATTTTCATATATAGTTTCTCTATATTTTGGAAACTTACTTTGTTCTAGTCATGCTTTGATCATTATTACCAAAGTTGTGGGTGTTACTACAATAAATTTGATTGTTTTTACCTGACCAATACCTGTTTCAAAATAATTAACAAGCTATAAGTTAGAAGTTATTGCAATAAAAGATTATTTGGAAGAAATGAGATTAAAAAAGTTACATAGAACATTATATCTCTGCCTTAGGCCTTTAATTGAATAGATTATATATTTTTATTGTTATTTAAAGGATTGAGG